ATGCAAGAATATGTTATTGGTTCGTGTTCTGCTATGGCGATCACCTCAGGAGTAATTTGATTTGAATTGTACCTGAAAACCAAGCAAGCAAGGTAATGGCAATGTAGATGTTTGGGCCTGCATGAATTATGCAAAACTTAAATGCTACTGAATATTTGAAGGTTGATTTAATGCTGATAGAAACATTGAAATTTTAGATAATTGCCTTTTTCAACCCTTATTTGATATAGGTGGTTCTGCAAAATATTGAAATGCTTTTTATTATGGTTTATCTTTTGTGAATTATTGTTTTAATATATTATTTCAAATATAAACTTAACTTTAATCCAGTTTTTTTATTAATTAAAATAAAGTGTTTCATTAATTTTTACTCTTTGGTATCAAAATCATAATGTTTGGATTCTTTTTTGGATTTTCATAATACAATTTGATTTTACTTATAATATTAAAAAAATAAAAATAAAAGCATTTTTGTTTTCAATTTTAGTTTATTTTGAATTTAATGTTTTATAAAAAAGCCTAGACAAAAACAATGTGTGCTCTAATTTAAGGCCAATTGTGTATAATATATATAAATATATATAAATATATATATATATATATATATATATATATATATATATATATATATATATATATATATATATATATATATATATATATATATATATATGTATGTATGTATATATATATATATATATATATATATATATATATATATATATATATATATGTATATATATATATATATATATATATTTATATATATATATATATATATATATATATATATATATATATATATATATATATATATATATATATATATATATATATATATATATATATATATATATATATATATATATATATATATATATATATATATATATATATATATATATATATATGTAAATATATATATATATATATATATATATTTATATATATATATACATATATATATATATATATATATATATATATATATATATATATATATATATATATATATATATATATATATATATATATATATATATATATATATATATATATATATATATATATATATATAAATTAGGTCCCTGCTAAGCTTAAATATTTTGAATCAAATCAAAAAAATGATTCAATGCTTGACTCAAAAAATCTCTATTTATTTAAATCTAATCAACATGCTTTTAATAATAGTTTATAATGAAATTAGCTCATGGTCATATCATTATAAATTTTCACAAGCTTGAGTAATAACATTATTGGAATGCAATTACTCTAATAACATGTTGTTTTCTTAAAAATTTCAAAAAAAAAATAAAAAAGTATTTTTTGAATTATATTATGGTAATGCTTAGGTCAAATTTAAATGCTTTGCAAAAATTTTCATTAATTGTTCACAAAAATTCCCTTACAAGCTAACTGAATCTGCCAAAACATGATGACAATGACTTGATAAAATAAATAGTTTCCCTATTTTATACTAAACATACCTTCAGTTTTTCAATTTAATTTAATTGTATTATAGTGCCTAAAAATTATGACCATATAAAATTACCAGCCCCCTTGATTTGATTAAACTTTGCTCATTTAAATACTAAAAAAATGTTATAAGGTATTTTAATAATTATAGTTATAAATAATTAAAAAGAAAAAAAAAAAATATATATATATATATATATATATATATATATATATATATATATATATATATATTTATATACATATATATATATATATATATATATATATATATATATATATATATATATATATATATATATATATATATATATATATATATATATAATATATATATATATATATATATATATATATATATATATATATATATATCCCAGCCAACATTGACATACGGGTACCGTATGGTTTTTGTCTGGGCTTACGGGAACGGGATTTTAACGGGTAAGTGTTTTAATTTCCAGACGGATCCCATATGGTCATAAAATCAAGCATATTTGCTCGTTAGGGTTTTATTTGGTTTTTATCAGGGCCGAATAACCTGGATAATTTGACGGGTTTCCCATAAAGTTCCTAAAAGGTTAAAAAAAAGTCATAACAAAACTTACTCGATGGTTGCCATTTTTAATTCGTATTGTGCGTGAAATAAGATAAAAAATTTAACTTTTATGCATTACATTTTTCGAATACATTATATTTACATTGTAATTAAAAAGAATTTTTTTTTGATGTGTTTTGTCACTGTAAAACTCAGTTAAAAAGACGTTGTTTTAAAAATTAATTTATTTATTATCATTATAAAATAATTTTTATATATACATATATATACATGTATACTATTTTTTTAATGAATTTTCAAAGTTCAACATATTTGTTGAACATATGTTCCAGAAACTATTAAACATGTAGTAAATGTTCCATTGAGACACTGTTTGCATTTTTAAAATGATCAAAATATAAAGTTTTATTTCTGCTAGTCACTAGCAGAAACAAACTTTATATTTCGATCATTTTTAAAATGATTTTAAAAGTGCAAACTAGCAGCTAGTAATATAATTAGATAATAAATGGTTTGAGTTTAATCAAAATACTAGTTTAGTCAGAAACAATTAAAAAGAGCAAACAGACGAACAGAATGTAATGGATAGGTTATATTTAGGGAATTAAAAGCTTTTAAATCGTTTTTACAGATCCACTCTTTTCCATTGATTTTTCTATATTTTATGCAAGCAAAATGACTGATGTTAACAAAGTTTACCCACCGTCAGATATAAATAAAGATACAATTACATGTTTAAATGCAAAAATATAGCTTTACTGATATGCATCAACCTCATTTTATAATCATTGATATTTTTTGATTTTGATTTAAAATTGCACATTTGCAATATAAACAATAACTTCATAATATACATAATAATAACTTATACTTACAATACCTATACTTGTAAACACTGGTAATATAATAATTATGTTTATAATACTGATAAAATTTTTTATTGATATAAACTTTTGCATTCAAACTTTTGTTATAAAACTTTAATTTAACTTAATAACTCTTACATAAATAACAATAACTAAAAAAAGATGTTAGTTATTATATAGATTATAGCCATATGCTTATTTATTATAATTGAGTTACAGTAAGTTAAACAATATAAAATATTATGTTCCAGGCAATAGGTCTTATTGATATGTATCTTATGTATATCTTGTATTTTGCAGCATGTTAAAGAATTTTTCTGCATGGTGCACTCTGACTGTTGAAAATATTTGCATATTGATATGAGTAAAAGTGACTTCAACAACCAGAATGTGTTTATGATAAATATTAATAATAACAGGTTAGTAAATATAATTATAGTAATAATGACAATAACTTTTTTTTATTAGAATTAGTGAGAGACTTATGTATAATAGAGCTACATTAACTTTTGGGGACAAATATAATAACTTGAGTGAATGTTACCGTTGTTTATAACCACGGTTAGAGTAATGTAAGTAAATATTATTTTTATCTAAAGAATATTCGGCAAAAGTCAGTATTTCCTAAGTATTAAATATTATAAAAAAACATGTGTTTCAAAAAAAATTTTTAAATGTATCACAAAATAAAAAAACAAGTATTTGGGTATAAAAAAAAACACATTTATTATTATAATGTATATACATTACATTAACTATGTTGTCTATAAAGTAGGGGTTGCAACTGATATTTCAGCTTCAGCTATAAACTCATTAGCTTCAGATTAATGCTGAAGCTGATCAAGTCAGTTTAATCATCTTGTTAGCTGAGAGTAAAAGAGAATAATACTCCATAAATATTTTATATAAAATATATTTTTATACAGGAATTTATTCAATGAAAATCTAAAATAGTGACAAAATTTAAACATACATGTAAATTTTAAATAAAATTTGCCAAAAGTTGTTGCTATATATAAATGTTGCCATCAGAGATTAGACCTAGGACTTACAATATTAGGGGACCCAAATTACGTTTTTAGAAATTTGTTTAAAAAGTGGTGCCCAAAAATCCAATTCCATTTTTAATTATCTTAAGGGGACCAATTATCTTTTGTTCAAAAAGAGTACACCTTGCAAGTGTTTCATAGGTAAAAAAAAAAAAGAAAGATAAAACGATAAAAAACTTTATTTTTTTTTTAAAACATATTTTTCGTCTGAGTGGATTTTTTTTGCTAGATGAGGATGTTCGTCTAATAATGTAGCTGCATCCGAGCATATTAAATTTCATATTAAATTTGACTGTTAAGACAGCATATAATGTTTTTACAGAAAGTTGCAACTTCTCACTGCTGCAATAATCATTTCTTAGTGAAATTACCTTTTCAACAGCAGCATTAGTGCCTGGACAACATAATGAAGTTTCTGTTAAAACTTTTAAATATTCATGTGGGATATGTTCTTCTCTAAAATGCCGAATAAATTCTACCCATTTTTTTTTCAAGTTCTTTTTTCTCATTGTTTTATTTCTTTAATTTTTCTTGATTTAAAAATAAATTTACTCTTCCAATTTCTTAAAAAAGAAAATTATCATTAATAACAATGTCTTTTACTTCCTTTATTACAAATTCGACTGCTGAAGAAACTTTTTTCATTAAAGTTTACTATTTATAAGGGTCCATTTAAAATAACTCAATGCTTTAAAGTTCATTATCCATTCTTCGATATATTCATAGCAAATTTTATAAAAATTTTTAAATTTTTTACAAAGTTTTTTTTTTTTTTCCGGGATTGGAATCTTCCAAAGCGGTTTATAGGCTTTAATATAATCTTTAATATTGTATATAGTAGTGTATGTATTTTTTTTTTTTATTTAAATTTGTCTTTAATTTATTTTTTTATACTTTTCTAAAAAAAATTTTTCTGTCACTTTATCCTTTTGAACTTATGTGATTAAGTTTTTGTTTTCTTTTACATATTTTTTCACTCATCTTATCTCATCCGTTCATTTTCTTTTTTTTTTTTTTTCATTTTTCTTAGCGTTACTCTTTTATATTTTTGTGTTAATTCCAACTTTTTAAATAGTATTGTTCCTTATACTTCTGTTTTTATTACTTGTATTAATGTAGTTTTCTTTCTTTCTTCTTATTTTTTATTTTATTTGTTTATTTTATGATGGTGATGCTCCATTGACTTGTTTTTGATATGAGTGACACCGAACATAAAGTTGTAAATTATAATTAAGTTTGTAAATTTTGATTTTATGGTTAATTAACCATAAGTGCATGCGTAGTATGTACAGTAAGGTTTTTGTTAACCTTTTATTTAATTAAGTAAATGGATAAAAAAACTTTGCTGTACATACTATGCATGCCTCAAGACTGTCAAGCTAATCTTTGATGTGCGTACATACTGTACATCAAAGATCAGCTTAAGGATTACATATGCAAATGTTGGATCCATCTCTTTTCACAAATGTAATTTTGACATTGTTAGAAAAAGAGGTCTATAGTATCTATCTATCTCTCCAGGTTCATAATACGGCCTCTCAATTGTGTTAAAAATGGCAGCCATATGTGCGTTCAAAATTTAAATCACTGTCAAACTTGTATCTGGTGTTTGCCCTGTCCTCTGACATGCTGGAAACGGCTAGCAATATGTGCGCATGAAATTCAAATCACTGTCAAAATAATTTTAAATATTTAATTAATAAAATTCAAAGGAAATACTATAAAAAAAAATGTTTTAGAAATACAAATGAGTACAAAATTATACAAATGAGTACTTTTAGAGTACAGGATTTGAAAAAAGTACGGTTTGTGAAAAAAGAGTAAAAAAACTCAGATAATGAGAATAGCAGGTCACCTTACTTGTCTACATAATTTTTTGGTAGATTTCAAAGTTCTTGCAAAAGATGGTTTTATCTATGAAAATATTGAGTTTAATTAATTTTGCTGTTATCATATGTGATGCACCAGCTAGAGCATTTGTAAAGTGTATTAAAGGACACAATGGTTATAACTGATGTGAATGTTGTGCTTAGAAAGGAGAGTGGTGTGGCAAAATAATCCTTCTACATATTTCACTAATTTTAAGCACTGATTCAGATTTTTTGTCATTAAAAGCATTCTGAACATCTTAGTGGTGTGTTAAATTGAATTAAATTTTGACAAATGTTGTAAGTTGTCTCAGATTACAGTCAATACTTTATCTGGCGGATTGTTCCAGATACGTTATTACATTACAAGAAATTTTTATAGAAAATCAAGGTCTTATTTAGATAATAAAAATTGGAAAACAACTGAGCTTAGACTCTTTATAGTAAACACTGGACCAGTTGTTTAAAGGGAATGGTTTAGCCAAAAATGTATTCAATTGTTTAGATTTTTTAGTTGTAGTTCTACTTTCATAATGTTTCATTTTGTTGAAAAAATTTGTTAATTTTGCTTTTCAGCTACTTATCTTTTTATGTGAACTTTATCATAAGGATTAACTAGTGTACAATGTCCATTCAATAGCACATATAGGAAATAATACAGTTAAATTTTAGGTACTTGATAGATGTCCCTCTTTCAAATACAAAATTTTTTCAGGTCAATTAAAAAATTTTTGTCTAGGGGTCTCATTTGCAAATTTAGGGGCCCTTTTACAAATGTAAGGATTTTTTTTTTTAGGATTTTTATTTAGATTTTGTTTATCTATTGGAAAAGATTTTAGGAATTTTGGGGCCCTTATGACAGATTTTTTTTCGGAATGGGGGGCTTGTATCTAGTAGCCATGGCACTGTATATAAGCTATATACAATATATATCAAATTATATACAATATAAATAAAAAAATATATTAATTTAATAATTTTATATAATTTATTTATCAGTTACTAAAGGAATGTTATCAATTTATTATATGAATCATAAGCATGTGCTTATCTATTACAAGTGCCTTTGATAATGAAAGTTACATTTTTTATTTGAAGAGAGTTGGGAGAAATTGTAAGAGTTTTATAACATATTAAAATTAATGTATGTGTTACCAATAAAATTTAAAACTAACAGTTAAACTCAATTTTTTACAGTTCGTATTGAAACGAGATATTGTGTAAAGAGGTTTTCAAAGAAGTCGTTTTAACAACAATGGAAAAGCTTCCGATTCCCGAGATAAACGTAAAAACATTTGATACATGATTAAAGAATCGTTCAAAAGTTTGCTTAATTTTGACAGTGTAATTTTAATTACTATTTTTTTTTTGAAATAAACCAATCAATTTATATGTAAATTAGCTTTTTCTGTAAATTTTAATCTTGCAAAACTACAATCGTAGTTTTGCAAGATTTGCAATGGGTAATCCTCGTGGAACCCTCACGAGATACCCAGCGGGTATACCCATATGGGCCCCAGAAGAAAACCGCGGCCATTATCCGGCGGGTTCCCGATGGGTTTCCCATATGGGTCCCATTTGCAAACCCAAATGGGTCCCTTACGGTTTTAAAGTACGGGATTTGACAGGGACCCATACGGGATACCCGGCGGGCTAACCCATATGGGTCCCATATGGAGACCGCGGTCATGATCCGGCGGGATACCGTTGGTCTTCCCATACGGGACCCAGTTGACGACCCGTATGGGCCCCGTACGGTACCCGTATGTCAATGTTGGCTGGGTATATATATATATATAAATATATATATATATATATATATATATATATATATATATATATATATATATATATATATATATATATATATATATATTACATATATATTGCACATATATATATATATATATACATATATATATATATATATATATATATATATATATATATATATATATATATATATATATATATATATATATATATATATATATATATATATATACTTATAATTTTATTTAATTTTTTTTTTCTAGTATTTTTTTGCATTACCTTCTTCTAGTCTTTTTTTAATAATTTATTTTTTTACAATAAAAAATTTAAAAAACTAAATTATTTTCTCATTATATTGTCTACAATATTAAGATAACATATTTAAAATTATTTTTTAGGAAACCTTTGAGATGATAGGAAATAGTAGGAGGAGTTCCTTGAAGATTCGGGTTGTTAGCAATATCTAGTTTTATTGTATATCAATTCTATTTATATCTATCAAAAGGTTTTAGTTCTTGAATGATCAAAGAATTAACTAACAATAATTAATAACAGATTAAATTAATCTGTTTGAATTCAATTTTTCATTTTTTGCATAAACTTTTATGAATAACATACTGTATTACTGATAAAGATTATAGATTATAGATGTTACTTTTATCTGAACTCCATTCTTCATAAAATAATTTCGTTTGACCAATTTATGGAAGTTAAGAAGATGGAACTAAAACAAAGTATTATTTAATAATACTTTATAAAGTTCCATCTTCTTTTATTTGTACCAAAGTTATTATAACATAAATATGAAGTATAAAACCACTTTATATTGTTACTATCATTGTAATAATAGTTATTTCAACAAAACACACCCAAATTTTGACTACAAAAGGTCATTTACAAAATCTAAAACAAAGAAAAACCTTTTATAAATAACTAAACAAAGCCACCAATACGTTTATTTATCCCCTATGAAAAGTCTTACATTAAAACCGCATGCTGTGAAAGTCCCTAATAGCGATTTAAGAAAACGAATTTTGTGCTAAAATTCTGTAACTCGTTTATTGGACTTTTTTTTTAAGGTAACCTAAGGTAAACTAATTTTTAAAGAGTTTCTTTCTAGAAACATATATACACAAAGTATAATTTTAAAAAGAAATATTATGCAGCAGATAGTTAAATCAGTTTAGTACTTTTGGTACCTAATTTCTATTTTTCCCTTTTTTTTTAGCGGATTTCCCGCATCGTTTTTTACGAGGTGGGAAATTTATGGGGTGATCTTCATTTACAGGAGAAGAAAACGGAAGAGTTTTTTTAATTCCCTGTTTTTAATGAGTTGAATGGTTTGTAAAAGGTAATTCATTAAAAGTATGATGATTAGGTGGACAATTCAATGATCATTCTAAAGTATTTATTTTTTCAACATCTAGATTATTTCAAGAAATAAATCTTTCTTCTGAATAAAAAGCATCGAAAATTACATAGATAAATCACATTACTCCTATTATAGAGATGATAGATTTTTACTTACGGTTGTCTTACCATTTTTTGGAGCATTTGTTTCATGAAAAATAGGTTGGTGTTTACTTGTCAAATTCTTGTCGAAGGACTCTTTATTCCGCTTTTTTGATTTTTCATATAAGTTTTTACATGCATTTTCTTTGCACCTATCAAATTTAGTCAAAAAATATTATGCAATAGATTGTTAAATCAGTATAGTACTTTTAGTACCTAATTTCTGTTTTTCCCTTTTTTTTAGCAAATTTCCTGTCTCGTTTTTTATGAGTAGGGTTAGGCAAACGCTTTTTTGTCGAGCTATTTTTTTCAGAAAGATATATGCATATTGTATATTTTCGAAAGAAGAAGAGTTAAGCTTGTTTTTTGAGTTACTTTTTTATATGGTTGTTAAACCTCTTTTTTGAGTATTTTGCTTATAAAATTTTTTTTTTTTTTTTTTTTTTTACATTTTAAGTTTACATTTGTCGTAATACAATACTTTAACAAATACAAACAAGGTTTCAGAAAGAAGATCGTACTGATCTTATCATCAGAACCTTTTACAAGCAATTAGCATAATTATTTACAATGTATATAATCTATTTATAAAATAAACAGTAAAAGTAAAAAGTAAAACAAAAAGATAAAAAGTAAAACAAAAAGAGTCGTTACATATAAAAAGTAAAATAAAAAGAAAGAAAAGTAAAACAAAAAGAGTCGTTACATATAACGTATTTTACAATTAACATAAAACGTATTTTACAATTAAAAAGTTCTAAATAAAGGTACATAATTACAATTAGAAGAACCTTATTATGTCATCGGAAAATAAAATAAAATTTTTGAGTTTATGTTTGAAAATTGGAAAAGTGTAAAATATATCAAAATTTGGCAAAACAACTTTATTCCAAAGATATGGCGCACGATAAGCAATACCATACTGAACAAACTTTGTTCGACAAAAAGGTTCATGCAAAAATTTATTATTTCTAAGAGTATATTTATTTATTGGTTTTTCACAAAAGAGAACTTTAAAGATAGGTAGGGATGAGTCATTTTTCCACAAATACATAATGCATAAAACATTAAACACATTAAGTTCGTAAATAATAAGAATTTTTATTTCAATAAAAAAAGGTTTGGAATGAATGTATCGATCCGCAAAATTAATTAAACGGATCGCATGCTTCTGACGGCGGTAAAGACATTGTAATTCGCTTTTTTCTGTGCTTCCCCAAGCAATATTTGCATAATTTAAATAAGTATGAATAAATGCGTAGTATAGTTGGGTTGAATCTTTTTTACATAGATATGTTCTCGATTTATATAAAATTCCAATGCTTTTGAAAATTTTTGTACTAATATAGTCAATATGCGCTTTCCATGTGATGTTTTCATCAAGAAAAACACCCAAAAACCTTGTGGCATAGTGTCTTATTATCACAGTATTATTAATAAAGATTTCTGGTAAATTTTGGGGTAAATAAGGTTTTTTTGCGGTTGGATGGAAGAAAATCCATTTTGTTTTGTTACTGTTAAGAGTTAGCTTTTTGCATATAAACCATTTTGATATGTTTTTAAGTTCATCGTTCATACTAGAAAAGAGTTTGTAAATATCATTAATGGAAAGAAATAAGTTGGTGTCATCAGCAAACATTATACTCATTAAATTTGAGGCTTTATTTAGGTCATTTATATAAATCAAGAACAACAGTGGTCCCAAAATGGAACCTTGGGGAACGCCACATGAAACATTTAGGAACTCATTTGGATAACAACTTTTTTATTTTCTTTTTTTTTTTTTTATTTTAATTCACCTCATCAAGGCCGAGAAGGCCACTACAGACGAGGAGGCTACTTATTTGTGGCTATAACCCTCTCTCAACTCTATAACTCCGAAACACGAACCTTGACGAACAAGGCCGCTGCGCGGAGAAACGAGTTGAGCGCGGTACTACCAGGGACGTGGTGGGGTTCGAACTCGGAACCACTCGTTTATGAAGCGAGCGCTCTACCACTACACCACTACCGCATTTACAGCTATTACTAAAAACAAATCGTTTACGGTTAGATAAATAACTTCGGAACCATATTATAACTTTGTAATTTATTCCATAGTATTTCAGTTTTTGTATCAAAATTTCATGATCTACAGTATCGAACGCCTTCGATAGGTCGATAAAAACACCTAATGTAAATTTAGATTTTTCAAAAGAATTTGAAATTTCACGTACAAGTTGGATAATTGCATGTTCCGTCAAATTATTTTTTTTTTTACCAAACTGGTTGGCGTATAACAAATTATTAGAAAGGAGATAATTGTATAATCTATTATACATAAAGCGTTCTAGTATTTTTGAGAATGTGCAGAGGACGGAGATAGGACAATAATTACTGATATTTGTTTGATCTCCCTCTTTTAAAATTGGGGTAATTTTAGCAATTTTTAATTGATCCGGAAAAACTCCTTGAATAGATGCTCCATAAATCTTAAAAAGTATATCTTTTAATTGTTCAAAACATTCTATAACTATATTACCGTTTATGTCATCTGCTCCGTTTGCTTTGTTTTTTTAAAGGGATTTGAATGCTTTTTCGAATTCATGAAAAGTTAGCTCAGAATATAATTCGTTGGAACTAATGCAATTATCCATCTGTACTAGAAAATTGTTAAATGTTGCTTTGGTATAAGGAATTTTATTTGCTAGTTTAGCACCAATGTCAGTGAAGAATTTATTAAACTAGTGAGCTATAGCTTGTGGTTCGCATATGCGTTTGTTACCCACTATAACTATCTGGGGAAGAGAACCTGAGCATTTTTTTTGTCTGCTAGTAATTTCGTTCATTATTTGCCAATTGCGTTTTGTGTTATTTTTGAATTTATCTAGGAGTCTTGTGTAATAATTTTTTTTCAAGTTTTTACGAACTTTTTCAAAGAGATATTTGTAATTTTTATATATTTTCTCATTATCTAATGATTTTGGTTTAAGATATTTTATATACAGCTTCTGTTTAATCTTGGATGATTTTTTAAATCCTTTTGTTATTCAGGGGTTATTTTTATATTTTGGAGTTATTGTCTTTTCAATAATAGAAAAGTTTGCGTCATAAACTGAGTAAAAGGTTTCATAAAAGTTATAAATTTTGTCTGCATTGTCATTGAAGTTAATATGCTTTCAGTCCAGTAACGATAGTTGGTTTTTAAACAACTTTATATTTGTATGGTTAAAAATGCGGATTTTAATTTTGTTCATTTTATTTTTAATTTCAGAATTATTTGTCAAGAATATTGGAAAATGGTCAGTTATATCAGATTTTAGGATACCTGTTTAAATATCATTGTTGAATATATCTGTTGTAATAACATTATCAATCAAAGACGCCGAGTTTTTTGTTACTCTAGTTGGCCTGTTTATTAAAGGAATTGCTCCCGCTTCAAAAAAGGAGTCGTAAAAGTTTTTAATTTTGTTATCTTCTTTATAAAGAAAACAATTCATATTTAGGTCTCCAATAATGAAGTTCTTTTTTTTTTCTTTAATACCTTTTTTGAAAATACTTTGTTCAAAAAAAATGCTCATGTTCTCGCTCACGCCGTCAGGTGGGCGATAACAACAGCTTAATATTATGTTTTTAAATTGATTGTTCATAATTTCAATAGTCAAAATTTCTTTATCGCTATCAGAAGCACTTAAATCATTCCTAACGTAATAAACAATAATTTTATTCACATATATAAGGACTCCTCCGCCGCGTTTATTTACTTGTCTTTTAAACAAAATTAATTTAAAATGAGGAATATAAAAGTTCGAAGTATTATCTATGTTATTTGAAATCCAGGTTTCAGTTAAACAAACTATGTTAAAACGATTTTTTGTTTCCTCTAACAAGTTTAAAAGTTTTTCAAAATTGTTATTAAGACTTCGAATGTTTACGTGTAGTATCATAATTTTATTTAAACATTTGCCATAAACATTTTTTAAAAGAAACCCTTCTAAATCGCTTGGAAAGTGATATGAGCAATCCGTAAGCGCCTCGTTGGATTAGTTTATATCGTCTATATTTACATCATTTATTTCATTAAAGTTAAAACGCATGGATTCAAAGTCACTGATTCCAGCCATGCTTTTTTTTTTTAATATAATTTTATTTGAGCATTTACTTTTAGAAAGGCTTCTTTTTAGGACTTAAAGTTAGGGATGGGATTTTTAAATTCTCTACAAAAAATTTTATCATACTTGATAATGGCGTACTTTCCTTCACCGCGTAGACGTTTGACTTCTTCCCACAACTTTTTGCGACTCTCGATAGTTTCCTTTGCGAAATCTTCGTTGATGAATACACCAGTACCTTTCAATTTTTTAACAGCGTTAAGAATCTTGTTCTTGTCTTGATATTTTAAAAGTTTCAGAACTATAGTTCTAGGTATTTTACTATCTTTTGTTTTGCCTAATCTATGTGCTCTTTCTACAACAACTTCGCTATTTATTTTTAGTTGGTTTTTAAATATATCTTTATTTGTATCCTCGCATTCAGTCCAGGTTTCACCTGCTTTTTCTTTTACTCCATCTATTCACAGATTGTTTCGCAGATCTGTTTTCGAGATCGATTGTTTTTTTGGTCAGCATATTTTTTTGTTGTTTTGACATCGTCCAGATCTTTTTCGATATTCATAATCTTGGATTTATTATTTGTTACATATATTTCAATTTTCTCTATTCTTTCCGTTAATATTTTCAAGTTTGCACTCCTTATCGACGCAAAGCTTTTTTCTTGTTCTTTCAACAACTTTTCTGTTTTTTGTAATATACATATCTTTTGTTCCTCCAACTTCTTGATTATTAATTTTTCTATATTTTTAAATCAGGTTTCCATGTTTAATTTAAAATTTAACACGCTGTAGAAAAAAAGCGTCTCTTCGCTTCAACACGCTGCTTGAAATAAAATTTCGTTAGTGTTAACTAGTTAAATTGTTGTCGAAGGAATCTTTATTCCGCTTTTTTGATTTTTTTAATAAGTTTTTACAATTTCCTTTGTGCTAGCCAAATTTCATAAGAAAGTATTAAGAAGTAATTAGTTAAATCAGTTTTTTGCAAAATTAGCCGTGTTGGGGCTGGGGGAGAGGGGTTTTTTAAAAAAATTTTCTTTAAAATACTTATTGCATATTGTTTCACTGAGATTGTTAGTAATTTATAAAATGAATGATATAATTTAACTGGGCAATCAAATAAATATTAAGTTTATATGTTTTTTCATTATAATTCTATTGTTTTTTACTTTTAAAAGTGTATTTTTTTTGTTAAACTTTTAAAAATCATTTACTAGATAAAAACATTTAAACTATTTAAGACTTTTTTCTTTGCGTAACATCAAATTTTCGGTATTTACGCCTTTACTTTATTTGTTATTTTATACGCCATTACTTTTTTTTGTTCATTAAAAAATTGTTTTATTAGATTTGTTTTGTTGGATTTGTTGCCAAAAAAAAATTTTATTACACCTTTACACCTAAAAATTTATCGTCATCTGATGCAGTTGGTAAGTTAAATAAGTATTTTTGTATTAGGTGTTTCTACTCTTATTCTCTAAAGCTATACAATAAGTTTAATACCTTTTTTCATTTTATTTGATGACACCTTCTTTTTTTTCTTTTAGTTTTATCAAACTCTCCCAGTGGCATTCCCACAGTTAGTAAGTCTAATTAAAAAAAAATTTCAGCTCTGTTTAGAGTTAATACCAAAATCAAATTTATTTTGGTTAATTTTTTTACTTTTAGCTTTGTCACTGTTACGCGTCGGTCCTTTTATGTAATGTTTCCCAATTACTCAATGGGTAATTGCCCAACTCCGATAAAGGTTACGCGTAGAATACTAACCACTGATACAAAGCGTTTTATAATTATTAATTAACTCAAATATTACGTATTGATACAACTAATCCTCCTATATAATTCTCCCACTATATTACATGCTATTGTACTACACATATATCTTCTCTATACCCTTCTATATATAATCATATACATTTCTTATATTATCCTCTATATCCTCATATATTCTCCTCATATATATTCCTCATATATATTCCTCATATATATTCCTCATATATAATCATATATGTTCCCCTTTTATATTGTTTTCGAAACCATAAGACACGTCTCGGTTCAACGGTCTTTACTCATGTTTTCATGCTTTCGTAATTAATCTCTTCGCTTGACATGTATTGTTTTTTTCTAACTATACGCTTGAGTGAGTATCGTTGCTACCTTCACAATAATTGCACGCTTGACTAAGATTGTTACCTTCGTAACATTACTTACCGGGAAAAGAAAAGTCCGTCCTCGGACTCAAATTCAGTATCAAAATGTACAGCATTGTCAAACCACAGCCAAATTTTTCCAATAATAAATCTCGTAAAATCGCAAATAACCAGTAAAAATATCGAATAAACAGGAAAAATAAACCGCATAATCCAAGAAATATAAACAGTAAAATTGCGAAAAAAACCAATAAATCTCAAATAACAGCGTAAAATCGCAAATAACCAATAAAAATCTAGAGAAACAGGATAACTGAGAATAACTCACATAAACAGCATAATCCATAAATATCTTGAATAAGCAGCAAACTTGCGTATCATTATGTAGTTGCAAAACATAAAAAAAATTACCATAGCATCACAAAGTTTATCATTATATATAAAAACTCGTATAAATTTATTATTCTTGAGAAAGTTTCGTAAAATCATAATTGCAAGACAACATAATTGTAATACAGTTTCCATAAAACTCATTATCAGTAATCATCATTGTATAACAGCATCATAAAATTTTAGCATTACCACTAAAACATCAAATACATTATTTTATTACAGTGTTCATTTAACATCTAGGAAACTCATGGTGGTTGGAAGCGTTTCACATCTCCATCCAAAAATCAAAATACCTGCCATTTCCGTCTGAATGTTTTTATTCTCAATTGTCTTTTCGTGTTGGGCATTTACAATTACGCGAGGAGTGTTTTTTTACTTTGGGGGACATTGATGTAAACTGGTGCTGTTGTGGTATTACTATAGTATCTTCCATCATTTTATTTTTAAATCTTTTTAAACATGGCATAATTTATATTCAGCTTGCTTAAAATAAGATAAACTACTATTATAAAGACTGCTACCCACAGAATAGAACCACTTATACCACCAATAAACTTTTGGAAGAAGGAACCTGCTTCTTCTTTTACATCCTTTTCAGCACCTCCGGCGGCCTTTAAAACTGAAGATGAAGCAACTCCAATAGAATGAACTAGTTTCTCATCTAAGTCGGAAACTCCATTAGGCGAGTTTTTGATGGCACCACCAATGGCTTTAATAATCTGGCTTCCGCCACTTGCGGTGGATTGTAAGGCACTACCTAAAGCCGAACCAATACCTGTCGTAACCGTTGGGAGAAGAAACATACTTAATATAAGAGTTGAAATCATCATCTTTCTTACATCGACAAATTGCTGTGACCATCAATTTACCAGTCGTCTTTTATTTTTTCGTCTTTTTTTTTGGAGAATTTCTTTTTTGTTTCTGTACCTTCAAATGTCACTTGTTTCTGACTATTATATTTGTTTTGAACAGCTTTGTCTGGTACCATTTGGCAGTTATTGTATGGAGCTTGTTGACGGATGGGACACACAAGAACGGGTTGATGAGGTACGTCTAATAGTTTTGGTGGTTGATTGTTAACATTTTTCTCAAGATAAGTGTGTGCAATACTATTAACGTAGGATCTCTGCTGTAAGGGAAAGTCAATTGTCGGAAATGATTTACGGCTTTGTTTTTCGACACACTTTCAATAATAGGCTTTTTAGAACCCACAGCAGTTGTAAACTTATTGTGAACTGTCTTTTCACTCATTGGGACGCTGAACTTGTTGTCAAAGTTAACTAGGTGTTGTCTACAATCAAGTGCAACCTTATGTCGATGCATAAAATCGTAACCTAGAATTACCAAATGTGTCAAATTTTTAACAACCATAACTTGATGTTTAAATGTGTTTTCTCTAATATTAATGTCACACAATATTTATCCTTGAACAATAAGCGGAGCTCCATTTGCCGTTTTTAATTTGCTGTAATAAGGAATCTGCTCAGCAACTTTATCTTTTATACTGTCATAAATGGTTGAATCGATCACGCTACATTTTGCTCCCGTATCCATAAGAATAATCACTTGTTTATCATAAACTTTCCCCCAGATCTCACAGCATGGGTCTTCTTCATCGGGATAAAATTCCAGCGTGTTTGTGTAGTTCTGATTTTGTCGATGATTATCAAAATACGGTATGTTTTTAGGTTTTTCGTTAAAGGCTGGATTATTCGAGAAATAATTGCGACGAGATGAAAACGAGTTTTGGGTATTAGTATTCCAGCGGTTAGTTCGCGGTGGTGCGTGATGGATATTGTTTTGTGGGGAAATTTGTTCGTTACATGATCTCTGCGTGTGTCCTACTCTGAGGCATTTATTACAAATTACCTGTCCGTCACTTGTACGTAGGTTACGTCTGATTGGTCTGAATCTTTCGTTCCGGGTTGGAGGGTTGCCAAATCTCTTTAATAATTCCACTTCGGCTTGTAATTCTTCAATTCTTTTCTTTGAATTGAGGTTTTAGATCTTTGATAAACAAATTCAGCTTAGTCTCATCATCGATTCCAAGTTGGTGACTTAATTTATCGAGAGTGTTTATGCGTATGTTAAGGTCAGTGTCTTGTACTAATCCAAAAAGTTACATTTTTCTGTTCCATGCTATGTTCACGTTATCATAATGTTGCCGGAAATGCTTTTCAAGTTCGTGATAATCATTCCTAGTGAGCACGGGAAGTGTCACATAATAGACTAGGGCGCTGGTTTCTAAATAAAGTGGAAACGCTAGTAATTTTCTTTCGTCTGTCCATTGATTGTGAAAGCACAATACGACAAAAGCTAGAAAACCATTCGGTAATGTCTTCTACTTCTGTGCTCGGTTTTAGCGCCAAACGTTCTAAAATTTGTTCAAGTGACATGTTGTTCTTCACTTCAGGATTTGCTGGGGAACGACTGGTTTCGGTTTTAAACGGATTGGTATCTGAGAGGTCTAAGGAGTCAGTAGAAGCGGATGAGTTGTTTAGAGAAGTATGAGGATTAGCGGCGATATGGGCACAAGGATTAGGTTCAGTATACGGGCATATTTTACCCGATCGTAAACGGCTCATACGTAAATCACAAAGTCAATAAAGTCAATATAGCTACGGGTTCGTTTGAATAATCGGATGTGAGAAAAATAACGAAATAAACAAAATTTAATCTTCACTTACGTAAATAGATTAATCGGCCCAAGCAGAGATAGAATCCACTTGTGATCCGGGCAGTGCCTCCAAATTTTACGCGTCGGGTCTGCGCTTGTTATGTAATGTCTCCCAATTACTCAATGGGTAATTGCCCAACTCCAATAAAGGTTACGCGTAGAATACTAACCACTGATACAAGGCGTTATATAATTATTATTTAACACAAATATTACGTATTGATACAACTAATCCTCCTATATAATTCTCCCACTATATTACATACTAATGTACTACACAATTATCTTCTCTATACCCTTCTATATATAATCATATATATTCCTTATATTATCCTCTATATCCTCATATATTCTCCTCCTATATATTCCTCATATATTCTCCTCCTATATATTCCTCATATATATTCCTCATATATATTCCTCATATATATTCCTCATATATAAGCATATATGTTCCCCTTTTTATATTGTTTTCGAAACCATAAGACACGCCTCGGTTCAACGGTCTCTACTCATGTTTTCATACTTTCGTAATTAATCTCCTCGCTTAATCATGTATTGTTTCTTTCTAACTATACGCTTGAGTGAGTATCGTTGCTCCCTTCACAATAATTGCACGCTTGACTAAGATTGTTACCTTCGTAACATCACCATCTGCTAAGGTTGGTTTTTTTTTAAACAAGTCTGTGTAGATTTGTTTGCAAAAACTATTTATTTTTTATTCTTTACCTTATTTTTGGCCTTTAGCTTTGTTTACATTTAGTACAGTTAGTATGTTAATCTTTTATGATTTATCTATTTTATAATACTTTTTATTGTATAAGTCTTTTGATCATTGTTTAAATTATTACACAAACATTTTTAATCTTATGCTCTTGTTTAGATGCAGGCTTATTATTTCATTAATTTTTGAGATTCCGTAGGTTGTGTGTATTAGGGTGTGTTAGATATGTATTTGGGTGGATCAATTTTCATAGCAAAAAAAAAAAGTTTAAAAATCAATATTCCTGAGACGCGAATCGATGTCTATTAATTATAAGATGAAAGTAAAAAAAAATTTTTTGATTTTGATAAGATCTTGAGGTTCCTCTTTGGATTCTAAATCCTTGACGGATCCTAATATTTTTGAATTTTTTTTTTCTAAACTTAATCAACCTTGGACTTAATAAAACAGAAAAAAAAGCTTGTTTTATCAATAATAATTTTATTAAAAAAAAAATTTTAGTGAAAAAAATATTTGAAAAAATATACCTTAAAACTTTTTAAGAAAAACAATGTCAACAATATTACGATTCGTCACAAAATTAGAACCCAAAGAGGAACCTCTAAAACTCATTTAAATTAAAAAAAAAAAAAAAGTAAGGTTCTTTTCTCACCAAAAGACTTTTTTTTCACCAAAAGACATCTTTTTTTACTAAAAGATTTGCAGCTCAGGCAAATTAAATTTCAAAATTTTTTAAAATCAATCCACGTATTATGTATAATAGTGATATATAGTGATATGATAGTGATGTATAGTGCATATATAAGATATGATAGTGATGTATAGATGTATAGACTTGATTGTGATGTATAGTGATATGGTACATAATAGTGACACATAAGGATGACATGAACAATTTAATTTTTATTGTTTTCATAATAAAATATACGTGTTGATGCTTTTAAAGTATTTTAATACAAAAGATATCATTTTTATTGTCTTTTAACATTTACTTGTTGTTGAATACTTTTTTTTTTTCATTATTTAATTCATTATACAACTTTTCTTAATGTTTACTTGCGTAGTTATGTTTTCATTATATTCTTAGTCAATAACGTTGTTGCACATTATGCAGAACTTATTTGTTGTTGTTTTTGTTTTTTTTTTATTTAAGATGTTTTGTTTAATTTTATATACATTTTTCTTGTTAATTTTAATCCAATCAACTCAGCCTTCCACTGGTAAGTTTGTATATTGCAATTTCAGTCATGTTTATATAAGTAGAAGTTTAAAGATGTATGCTTTGGTTTATTTCATATGTACTTTATCTCAAGTCATTTCTTAAACGATTATTAATACGTAATTAGTAAATTTAAAAGCTACTATTTTTCAACTTGTGAAAGATATATCATTTTTATATATTATATTTATATATGTCATATATTAGATATATATATATATATATATATATATATATATATATATATATATATATATATATATATATATATATATATATATATATATCATTTTTATATATGTAGTTATATTTATATATATATATATTATATATGTATTATATATATGTAGTTTTATGGGACTTCAATGGGTTGCAAAATAAAGTGTTTTATTTAGAAAAATCTGTTATTATTTATATCTTATGCCAATATCATTTTTTTTTGGATAGCATTCAATTCCTTTTTCGTTCTATCTATATCTGATACAGTTCGTAAGTTTAAAAGTCAATTCTTTTTCAGCTGCGTATTGATTTAATCCCATTTTCAACTTTTTTTGTTTGTTTGTTTATTGCATCCTTTCGAAATATTAGTTGCATCTACGTCATATACAGTTAGTAGGTTTGAAAATTACTACTTCTTAATATATATAGATGACAAAATCTAAATCTTTTCATTATTTAGTTATTGTTTTTTTTTCTGTTAATTACACCTTTTTTACATTAAGCTTCATTGACACCTGCTGTCAATGTCATTTTTTTCGTTATGGCTATACTATGGACTTATATCAAATTCAATTTTCTTCTTATTACAGTTCTTTTTTTTTACTTTTAGTTTCATCAACATCTGCCTAAAAGCATTTTTTTTGTTCACTATGTATTAGGGTGTGTCGATTTTTTTTTTTTTTTTTTAAAAAACGACATGGTCACTAAAGGTGAAGAATTTTATGGAGATTCTGAATCTGCAAAAAAGAATTAAAAAATAATAATTTCTTGTTGAGTGGGTCAGCGTTGTTTTGAACGGGAAAATGACTAAAATGTTACTAATTAACAGGGGAAAACTATAACTATAAAAAATGAAACTATAACTATAAAAACTTTTGATTAACTCAATAAATGCTATATTTAATTTTTAAAAGAAATGATTATTTGGTTCAAAAAAGCATAAAAATAAATACAGAAAAGGAGTTTTTGTAAAGGGTATTTTTACAAAAATCAAGCACTTTTTTCATATTTTAGACAAAGAATGTTACGTTAAAAAGTGTTGGTTTTATCCAGTTTTTATAAAACTACAAAAGTAAGGGTAGTTCATTTTTGTGGGGAATTTTATCGGGAATCTGAAATTATGTTTTTACACAAGCCTCTGTAACCTACATTAAACATTAGAAACAATGTAGTCAGTAGCAAATTTTAAACAAGTTATTATATTCTTGTAATTTTATAAAAAAGGAACCTTCTTCACGCATTGTTTGATGGGTTGGAAATGGAAAGGCTAATCTGGAACAGCCATAGGCTTGTGAAAATATTTTCTGACTTCATGATTTGTGAGGCTTGTGGTAAGTAATGGTTCGTATATTGAATCTTTCCACTCAATTAGCTTGGTAAACTTATCAGCATCAGTATTTATATACGGGGTTTTGCGAATTTTTAATGAAACTCTCCGAACTGAATATTATCATCTCCTTCCGTTTCTAGTCTCGAGTGCTTTTTTTGCTTCTTACTTTCATTCCTCTTCATCTTTGGAATACAAAAGAGTTTGAATAATGCATTCACTAATTGCAAACTATACAGGTCTTTTTACAGTTTTCATTCTATTGCAACAACCCCTTTTTTCTTGATATTTATGTTGTTTCAATCAGAATAAAATATGCCGAAGTCTATCTAACCAGGAATATTTTACCTTTCTTTGAAACCAGCAAAGAAAATGCACAAAAATTTAATAGTTAAACGTAGATTTATGAGGTTTTTTTCTGTTATTTTCTTTATGAATTAAAATCTAAGATCTACAAAAATGGTTGGCTGTAACTCAAAAAATCCTGTTTCCAGAATTTCTCAAACTTTCTTTAAAATTTCTTCGCGCCATTCTTCTCCACTTCAATGTACCGTAGGCTTATCGATTCATGATTTTTATTGCTTATTGATGGCTTCTCAACTTCATTATGAATTTTGCATTTCAATAAATATACGCGAGATATAGGTCGCTTAACTTCACTGTTTCACGCTTTCACATTTACAACTCTAGTTTGACCATCAGCGCCAGGATACGTCTATAAAACTCTTCCTAATGGCCATTTTCCCCCGCGGTGTATCCGGTGATATAATTAAAACGATATTTTTTATCTAAATATCACTTCTTTCAAGAAATCATTTTTTTCTAGAGTTTACGGTGGGAAGCCACTCTCGCAACCATCACTTCCAAAAGTGACGGATAAGTTTTGGATTCTGCGCCAACGTTTATTTATTCTAAAATCCTTATTATCAACGTTTTCCGGTGCAAATTCGCCGCGTACTCGACCATACAAGAAATGATTTGGTGTTAACGGGACATTATTGTTCAGAATGCAAGACTGGTATGTTAAAGGTCTATATTTGATCAATGATTCTGCCCCTGTAAATGCTGTCATCAGTTCTTCATCATTAATATCTGCTTTACCCAGAATACTATATATAGCTTTCTTTGCTGACTTGATCATCGTTTCATGGACTCCTTCAAAATGTCGTCCGATAGGATGGTTAAATTTCCATTTAACTCTTTTATTGGCTGTTGAGTGTTTTATTTTTTCTATATTTAAACTAGTTACGAGCTCTTGAAGTTCTTTATTGGCTCCAACAAAGTTAGTGCCATTATCCGAGATTATTTCCTTTGGAAGGCCACCCCGATTAACCATTCTATAAAACGCGTTAAAAATGAGTCTGTTTTCAATCCAAATGCTATTTCTAAATGCACAGCTCGTGATGTAAGACAAGTTAACAAACTTAAATAACATTTAGTTCTTCTCATATCTCTTCCTTGAACTGTTATAAATGTACCACCAAAGTCTACAGCTGTTCTTGAAAATGCATGCGAAGGCATTTTTGATCTGATCTTTGGTAATGGTGCCATAATCTGATTCCCGGCTTTAGCATGTTATTTTTTACAAGCGTTAACAAGGTCGAATTTGCTTTAGACTTTTTACTTCTACATCATTGTTATTAAGTGTTGATAGTTTTCTTTCCAGCCATTTTTTTTGATCAGCCAAAAAATCTGGTCCTTTTCGCCATCTAATTTGTTGTTTTAGTTCTGATACTGCGAGACCTCTTGTTATGTCATCAGCAGCATTTTCCTCAGTTGGTATGTATCTCACTGACTTGAGTTTGTTTTGGTATGAATTTATCCGATTCTATTAGCCACAAAAGGTTTAAATTTTCTACTCTGACTATGTATCCACCATATCACATTCATGCTGTCTATCCAAAATGTTACTTCTTTAACAACAATTGTATAAGTTGCTGCGATACTGTAACTTAATCTCATTCCTAAAACTGCACCAAGTAGTTCTAATCGCGGGATGCTGAATGCAGATAAAGGCGCCACTCTCGACTTGGCTGCAATAAGGTTAATAGAAACTTTGCCATTTTTATGTTGACATTTTGCATAGGTTACAACTCCATATGCAATTTTGGAAGCATCTGTAAATGTGTGAAGTGAAAGTATCACTAAACTTTGATTTTGTTGTTGAATGCATCTTCTTATTTTTATGTTTTGTAAATCCATTAACTCTTGGACCCATTTAGATGCTAGTTGAGATTGTTTAGGATCCAACGATTTATTCCAACTAATCCCACTGGTCCATATCAGAATGTAAGAGCACTTTTTCTCTCATTGTGTAGGGTGATTAAAGTCCAAGAGGATCAAATAGTGTTGCTATCTTTCTTAAGAAGTTTCTATTGGTGAATATAAAACGTTCATCAGGTGCTTGATACTTAAATGCAAAAGCGTCTTTTTTTAATAATCACATAATCCCTAAGGTTTTGATTGACGGAAATTCACTTTTGTCCAAATCTACTTCTTGAGATCTGTCTTTGGATTTCTTTCAATAATGTTTCGGAGTTGGGTAATCATTTTCGTGCATGCATTCCAGCTAAATTCCACACTGTATTTAACTGTTTGTATAACTCAAAACCAGTTTTTTCATCAGTAACAGAGTCGATACTATCATCCATGTATGTCGATTTGGACCTTGAAGAATTTTATCGTTAAGATATAATCCATTATGCTTTGCTGATCCAGCGAATACTGGTCGTGTATTCATAGCCTGATGGTTCATCTAAATAAAAGGAAAATGAGGTAAATACCAACTATCACTAATAAATTTTAATTTTTCTAGCTTTTGAATATATCCTTTTCCCTGATATTGTTTTATAACGTTTGAATAGCTTATACTGATGTCTCTTTTTGTTTGTTAACTTTAACTCCATGGAGTTCCAACTTAATATCTCCCTTCAACATATTTGATGGATTTTTGAACAGCTACCATTGCTATTTTCTCATCAACACTCATGGAATACTCTTGCTTACTTTTTTTCGATATGTCAAAATTGCCGAAGTATATCATCTGTTGCTGTGTTGTAATGTTCGTCATTTAAAAAAACCTTTAAATGAAGCTTGTATAAAAACTTTGATTTAATATAACAGGGCTGCCCACGTAATTCCATCCGAATGGAGTAAGACGAGCAACAGGTGCTCCTGGGTGACCACATACATCTTTAAATGAGTAGTGAAGGTCAGCATAGTCGATACCAATTAAAATCGAAATAACTGGTTTTTGACCCACGCTCGGAAAATCGATATTTTTCAAATGTTTCCACTTTGCTGCATGTTTCTTCTAGTCTATTGGTTTTAAGTTTCCAGTTATTTGTTTGCTGTATATGCTGCAATTTTCATATTCACTTTACCATCCAAACTTTCTAGTTCTAATTCAACAGGCGTTGTCTGGAACGTATCTGTTCGAATATTTAAGACGCTTATTGTCACTTCTTGTGGTTTACCATTTAAACCTAGTTCACTAGCAACGTCGTTATTTAGATTTAGGTTTTCGTACTTGCATCATCCAACAAAGCATTAACTATAATTTTTTTTTCCACGATTCTTTAAGAAGACTGGAACAGTTCTAAGTGCTACAGAAACACCACAACCATTATTTTTAAGTTTTGATTCAGTTGACATTGTAATGTTTGCAGTTTCTTTAAGTTGCTCCTCCTCTTTGATATTCTTTAACTGCGACTTTTTATTTCTTTTGATCCGGTAGTCTCGGTTAATGGGATTCGACTTATGTAGCAATATGTTGTGTGTTTCGTTACATCCATTAATACCACATATTCTTGTTTTAGTACACAGACCTCCAGAATGGTTGTTTCCCAAGCATCAATAACATAATTTATTACTTTTTTCCAGTTTCCATCTATCAATAGTATTAAGTTGTTTAAATTGGTCACAGTTCCACAAGGCATTATTTGCTTACAAACAAGACATTTCAACCACAATTTTCTCGTTTCAATTGTTCTGGTTTCACCAAAATACGAATAATCATGTTTTAGTTTATAACAACTAGTACTATGCAACCCATGAATTATTTCAGCTGCAGTAATTTAAAACCCTGATTCTTTAATAATAAACTGTCTTGAGGTTTCAACATTTTCTTCTTTTGTATTTTCGAAAACCCAACGTTGATAATGAGAAAGCATTTTCTCTCGTAATTTTTTTCGAAGTTTTCTATAAAACGTTCCATTGCCGAGTTTTTCTTCCCTTTATGCTTTTTTGAGGTTAGTAACTCCAATGTCTAACAAATCAGCAAACTTCTTCAGATCCTTGGAATGGTATTTCTTATTGTTTTGAAGTTTTCTAACTCGTTTTTGTAAAGCATTAACTTTCTTTTGTGTATACCTCTAGTTTTTCTTTTTCAGCTTCATTGACGTAATTCGAGTGACCCAATTCATTAATGGTGGTTAACGCTGAACCAGACAGGTATTATCGTAACTGCAACAACTTGTACTCTTCAGTTGTGGGAGCTTGATCAACATAGGCTAGGAATGCCGAATTCCAGTTTTCATAGTTACGCCTATCACAGGAATTGAAATTCTTTTTAACTGTCTCCATAGATCGTGTCCAATATCTTGTTTTGTTGTATTTACTTTTTCTTCAGGGTTTAAACTTTGAGTTCGACTTTGATAATTTAAAGTCACCAATATCTGCATTCATTCATCGTCTGAAATATCTTGTATAACTTCTTGATTTGCATAAATATAATTAGTTTCCATAAAGCTCGTGCTTTCATCAGCATTTTCTTTTTCAAGTGCTTCTAATTTCCATTTGTATTTTTCTTCTAGTGCTTTCTTTTTTAGCAAAAGTTTTTCTTGTTTTTGTTTAAGCTTGATCTGCGTCTAGATTTTGTATTTCTTTTCGCTATAATATCTCAACATTAAATGGAAGAGCTGGTGTTGTGCTTGAAGAACTGTCTTTTCTACTGAATAAATGTCCATTTATTTTATCCATAACTTGAGTGAATTATATTTCAACTTTTTCGATTTCGTCAATTACTTTACACATTTAATTCGTCAATTACTTCAACTTTTTCCATAATTTTGTACTGTTGGGATAACTGTGTTACAGGGTTATTCATTTTTATATGCGCGTCTATTCATTTTTATATGCGTGTTTATTCATTCTTATATGCGCCTTCAATCATTCTTATATGCGTGTTTATTCATTCTTATATGCGCATTTATTCATTCTTATATGCGCAACTATTCATTCTTATATGCGCGTTTATTCATTCTTATATGCGGGTTGTTTCATTCTTATATGCACGTTTATTCATTCTTATATGCGCGTTTAAATGCGGGTCAACCACCAATAAAATCTTTACTATAATTTAATATAAACAATAAATACGTTTTTGAATTTTTATTTAGATACATTTAAAACATAAATTAGGTTGTTTTCATTGTTATTTAATTAAGCAATGGTTGCCGAACCAGCGCTGAATTTATGTAACTACGCTTATGGTAAAATGGAATTTAATTAAATTCTGTAGCATTCATAATATTTTTAAGTTTCCTGATTTCCCCATCCGTATTTCGAGGCCTTTTTCCCTGTTTGGAAGTATGTTTTATAGAAGAAGAAAATTCTTCTATTGGATTAACTGTCGCGTGTATGGTGGCAGATACTTAATAGCTATACCATGAGAGGCTAGTGTTTGCCTAACAGAAAGACTCCAGTGGAATTTACAATTGTTCATAACAAGTACCGGCGCTTCAACATTTGCATTCCTAATCGCTTGTGCTATCATTGTAGTTATGAAAGTAAAAAATGAATCTGCATTCCAGCCTCCAGTTTTTGTTTTATAAGCAAGCACTCCCATTGTTGAAACAGCACAAATTAAACTAACATTCTTGCCACGATTTGCAGGTGCGATTCTTGCCACGATTTGCAGATTTGCCACGATTTGCAGGATTTGCATACGAAGAACTTGAAACAGCAATTAAAACATTAAAAATTAACAAAGGTCCAGGTATCGACAATATCCCAGCCAATATTATTTTGAATGTCTTCCCAGAAATAAGTAAACCCATTTTTCAAATATTTAACTCTTCAATAATTACAGGAATTGTACCCGACTATTTGAAAATAGCTAAAATTGTTCCTATCTATAAATCCGGAGATACATCTTCCTTAAATAATTACAGACCAATATCAATCCTTCCCGTATTTTCAAAACTGCTCGAACGAATAATCTACAATCGTTTATATAAATACCTAACCACAAACAAAATCCTGAATGAAAACCAATATGGTTTTCAAACTCAGCACTCGACAGAGCATGCTATCGTAGACCTCGTCAATAGAATT